GACGACAGAATTGTATGAGCTTAGCCTTGTATCTATAATAAAAGTAACGTACACAAAAGCAAACTTGAAAGTAGCAGGCCAATACATGGGTGCTTCAGCCTTGATAGGCTTGGTTTGGATAGGGAGATGCTTAGTGGTTGTGTGTACTTGTTACCTGAAAGTCCCTGAAAGATATAGATGTTCAAATTTGAGGTGTGGGTAACATTAGCCTTATGGGGCTAGCACCTGAAACTGTAAAGAAACAGTGAATAATAAAATGTCATCAAAAGTAGGAGAATAAAAATGTCATTGTGGTAGGAAAACATTCAAAAGCCATATTAAATGTTATGGTTCACAATAGAAGGACATCCTCTATGAAATTTAGGAATCTTTCTTCTGAGGAAAAAGGTATGGAATGGCAAATCAGATGCCCTTCCCCTTTCTGAGGGCTGTGTCATACTGATTGACAGAAAAGAACAATGAAGATTTGCCAAAGAGAAGCACTCTCAGTGTATTCTGTCAGGGACCTCAGGAGACTACCTAGACATGGGCCTTCCATGATTCTTGGGCAGTGCTCTGATGAAAGGGTTTACACAAAAACATAGGGCCCAGCTGTGGCATAAATTGGCCTTGTAGAAGGAGTCTGGGCAGGAGAATGGCTGGTCATTGTGACCACTGGTGAGGGCTGAGGACACATGGCTAGAAGGCCAGACGGATCTTGGGTCACTGCTGTCAGTCATGCCAAAGTGCACCTGAATTCCTACACCCAAGGCTGGCTTCTGACTCACCTTTAACCGGAAACACTTGGTTCCAGGACATTATTAGGTTTACTGATTCCAGGGGCTGCAAATTATGGGTTTAGGTATAACCAATATAAAAGTAAATTACTTTATTCTATTTTGTTTCACATAGTTTGGGCTATATCAGTACAAATCTATGTGCACATCAAGACATTTTTAAATATCCAAGAAGAAAAATTAGAATGGGAGCTTATGACCACACTGGCCACTCCTGAGTACTTCAGTTCACAGATAGGCTGGTTCATGGGGCCACTAGAGAATCTGGTATCTCTTCAAGGTTATCCACAGGAAGGCCTCATTTCCTAGGTTTTTGTGAAAGAGAAATGCCATCTTTCATCACTGTGCTCTCTCTCTCTTCTTCAAGTTATTCCTAACGGCATCTAACCAAATCTTGATGGAGATAAGGATGGTGGAAGGCCCATAAAACCACAGTTTAGCAGGAAGAGTTAAAGGAAATGGCAATGCTTAAACTATTATGCTCGGGAGTACACATTAGGTCTCTTGACATATGTGAAGGCTTCTGAGAGACAACAAACTGCGTATCTGTACATATTCTTCAGAAAGAACAGATAAAGTTCAAAAACACTAAGCATTTCCTTGAAGCAAAGCATAGCATTAACCAGTAAATTGCTCTCTTCCCTGAACTTGTTAAACTTAGTGTTCTGGTAATGTTTTACTGCATTACCAATGACCTCAAATCTAGTGGCTTAAAATAACAGTTAACAACAACGGATTGCACATTTAAAATAGCTTGAAGTGGGTACTTGAAATATTCCCATCACATGAAAATGATGAATGCTCATGGTGATGTATACCCTAAACTTCCTGACTTGATCATTACACATTCTATGCATATAACTCCATAAATATGTACGTATATTATGTATCAATAAAAAATTGAAAACCAAATGTCTTATCATTTGGTGGAAAAGAATTTGGGCAAGGCTTGGCGGGGTGATTCTTAAGTGACATTGATTGAGGTCACTTGGTGGTGTTCACCTGATGGATGGGCTGATCTGGAGAGCCAGGATGGACTTGGTGGAGGTTGCTGGAAGGCTGAACTCAGAGTAGGGTTGAAGTGTGTATACACGTGGCTTCTCCAGCATGGGAGTCTCAGAGTAGTTGAACCTTTACGCCGAAGCTCAGGGCTTCTGTGAAGAGGATTTCAAGAGACAATAAGTGGAAACTGCCAGTTTTCCAAGGCTTGGAGCTGAGAACTGGCAGCATTGTTTTTTATCACATTCTTTCAAAGCAGTCACAGTCCACCTAGAATTAAGGGCAGGAGAGGGAATGTGGGTCTTATATCTCAATGGAAAGTGACAATCATTTTGTGGTCACTTAAAATCTGCCACCTTTATAATAAATCCTAAATCTGGTGGTAACATATTTTTCATACTGTACCTTCCCACTGTCTAAACTTGCTCAAATCAGAGAAGAGAGTAAAGAATCCTCTTTGTTTATAGGTACATGCTGTTTACTAATAGGAAATGCTCATTAGGACCCATTATGTTAGTTTCAGGACTGTTGAAACATTACTTAGATAATTACGTAAGTCCTAGAACAATGATTAGTGTGAAAATGAATGGGAGTTCATGAGTAGTATCAGCAACTGGTTTACCAAGTATCTTTTAAAAATGACCACTGTCTTTAGAGCTAGAAAATGCTGAGTATAATTCCTGGCAATTGAGGTGAACACAATTTCCCTGTCCCTTTTCCCGATACAACTGAGGTGCTTTGTTTCTCATTTATTTGTTTCAACAAAGAAATTTCTTACAGATACACTAAAAAGCTTTTTGTTTGTTTGTTTCATTCTTATGGAGAAAGGAAGGTGCTTGGGAAGGCAAAATTGAGTCTGAATGAGTTGGGGTGGTGAGAACAGAAGGACAAACTTGTCCTAAGATGTGAAGGAATGTCTCTAGAAGCAGTTCATTTCTTTTAGGTACTGGGTTAGAGAGACTTTTGCCTCAAAGACAGACATAAGCTTGACCTGAGGGGCAAGATTCTGGGTCTTCAGCGGTCCCTGCTCATGGTGATTTTACTTGGCTGACCAAAGTTTAGCTTCTAGGAACTTGTCTGTCTACACTACTATAATTCTATAGTTTCTGACACAGACAGCTATCTGTCTCTACATGCTCTCTCCCCTACTTTATCCACTTGAGCCTGGTAGGTCTCATTTCCCATCCTTGAATCCAACTATGGCCATGCCCCCATTCTGACACCTTCTTCACTGGCCTGAGTTAGGACATTCTGCCCCATACTTTCTTGGCCCTGTCACTCCTTGAGCCACCCATAACTTTTAGTTTTGTATCCAGTTTGTTCCTAGCAGCCTCTCTTAGTTCTACTCTACAATACAGACCAGAAGAAACAAATTCTCATTTCAGGAAGTGCTCCAACTCAGACCCATTCCTGTGTTTTTGGCCCCACCTTTTCTCACTGGATGCTTACCATCTCTCCATCCCAAGCCAGTTGGGGGCTATGTTCATGGTCTTCTCTCTGGGTTGTTACACGAGCTCCTCTTTGTTAAATGGTCTCCAATTTACCTATTATTTTTTCAAGATTCAATCTGAACCTTTCCTCCTTTATTCCTGGGCACGTCGAGGAAGGCTTCTTCAGACATCTTTTTGTCTTTATTCCTATGGCAGTCTGGGCATAGCTCTATTATCTGGTTGTGGATTATCTGTTTTAATACGTTGCTACTCCTCTGCTTTATGAACTCTTTCTGGGCAGGAACCATGGAATTTTTGTCTTGGAATCCCTGTTCTCTAAAATGATACCTGATGTATGCATGGGTGGATAGTTGGAAAAAAAGGATGGATAGATGGCTGGAAGGCTAGATGGTTGTCTGGATGTAGGGAGATGGTTGGATGGTAGAAAAGATGAATGAATTGATGGTTGGGTTGGCTGACTATTAACTTTGTAATAATATTGGACGAATGTTCATAAGCAGTGACTTTCCCCCTGGGATTTTGTGACTTTTGAGTGCCAATGAGCCTAGCACAAACTCCATTTCCCGTGACATTTCTAATATAAATTTATACATGTTTTTTATTTGTTGCTCTACTGCAGCTCTTCAAAGAATCCTGAAGTTGTTCTTAAGCCAGCATTCTTAAAACTCTGAGGAGGCAACAAAAGATTTAAACAGTGTACAGCAAATGGTGATTCTGAAATCAGAGTTGTTTCACTGCTCACTCCCACCCCCAGCTTGAGTTGCCATGATACATGGCTTCCTAGGCTCAATTGGGTTCTTAATTATGGAGATAGTTATATTTACTTCTGTCACAAGACTGATGAGGTGAAATATTTGCAAAACTATCTCTCTCTCTCTCTCTCTCTCTCTATCATCTATCTATCCATTATCTATCTATCTATCTATCTATCTATCTATCTATCTATCTATCTATCATCATCTTATATGTGTTATTGTTGAGGTTTGTTTGAGATATCCCCCAGGAGAACCAAAAGAAACAAAAATATTTATGTTTCTTATGTTTCCCCTCTTTTGTCATTGAAGTTCCAAACACTAATAAAGATTTGTTTGAAAGCACTGAGGACTAGCACAGGTAGAGACTCAGGGAGAGTTAGAACTCAAAGTCATGCTGCTACCTGAGACACATTGCTTGTTAGCATTGCTAAATTATAATTCTTAGAGCCATAGCATTAATACATGTGTGAAATCCCAGCTATCAGAGGGAATGGGCTGGCTCTAAGGGTAAGCGTGACAAACAGGTTCCATCTTGGGTGCCAGTTTCAAATCAATTGCTAGTTGCTATCTGGAATTGAGAAAGATTCTGAGGTCTTATCTGAGCTACAATTGTTCAGTGATGTCTGCCATGAATATAGGATCTCCTATATATGATTGTCATAAGACCATAACAGGTGTTCATTGTGCAGGTCTCCATGCTGGCTATCCACTGATTCACCACAATGGTTCATGAGATTGTTTATGAGAAAACACCTACAGAGGTTTTATAGCTTCTGGAAGCTGGTTTTTGAACTAAATATGCAACTTGATTCTTCAGTGAATATAGTTAATAAAATGTAGAAAGAGAGAGGTGAAGAAAGCGGTGACATTAACACCTGTTAGAGTCATTTTCTTTAAAGGATAAATGCTTGTTTTCCTATCCGGGGTGGGCTGTCTACTGCGGAGGAAGGATGGTTTCTCAAGAAGTTGTGATTAGTAGTGTGTTATATTGAAAATTAAAAGCATTCACCTCTGCTCAATGCAAATATAATCAGTTTAACTTTATTTTAAGCTTCTATTACATTGTAATTAATAATAATATACTAAGTTAAGCCAGTTTAACTGTCTAGCAAAATGCATTTCATTTTAAAATTGGGTATTGGGAGACTTGGCAAATGCTGTGAGATTACTAGTAAAGTTAAGTATGATGTATATATAGAGGGAACCAGCTCACCCTCATAGGTTAGTGCTGAAGGCTCAGGAACAGTCTCAAAGGCTTAAAAATGTAGTTATATAGATCAGAGCATTCCATTCTGATTTTGTCCGCAGTATCCTTATCACGGTTCATTTTTTGCTAAGAATCACAGTCTGCTGGCCTAAATCACACTCTATACATGTCAGTGGGAAATTCTGGCCATAAATCAGCCTTGCAAATACATAGTAGGTAGCCTTGTCTGTAGTGGCCTTGGAACATAATACAAATGATGTCAGCATCCTCTGTGGTTGGGTCAGAACTAGCACTGGCTGTTTGCAAGGCTGAGTCCATATGACCCTTCAGGACCTGAGTGCCAAGCTGCGGTCTCAACATGGGTGATGTGAAGGACAAGACAGAATCAGTGGTTGCAGTCCTTCTATATATCTGGTCACTAGATCCACCAGCTTCTCCATCTTATTGGGCTTATTACATCTCTGAAAAGGGACCTGAACCTGCATCATTCTGCAAAGGAGATGATTCCTGAGAGATAGGTGAAATATAGCCACTAACTAAAGAGATAAATCCCTCACTTTACTTCCTAGTATTGCACCCCAAAAAGGGTTAAAGTAAGGGATATTGGCTCCTGCTGATCAGGCCACAGTGTGACACCTTCTGTAAAATGCACCACAAAACTACATTATTCAATAGACTTGAGTGCTGCACCTGCTTTCTTATCTCCTTGTAGGTGATTAAGTTTCCCACAAATGCAATTTGTTAATATGGGGCCACCTCTTCTTACAAGGTAAATCTGCAAAATTTGGCAGGCATTTGCTTGGCTGCAGGTGCAAAATGAAAGACCTTTTCCTGGCTTTGCCAAAAATAAAAATCACGCTGTGCTCCAGTCCTGGGAAAAATATTCTGACCTGGAGGGTAGAACCTGACCCCAAGAAAGGGGATTGGAATTCTAGAGCCCAAATCATGTGCTATTATTCCCAAAAGGCTGAGTGGGGAATCTGAAGTCTTGTTTTAAATGAGGCCAGGTATTGAGCAAATCTCCCTGGTAAGAGAGCCCACTGATATTTGGAGCTGTAGCCATTTGTGATGATAAATGACGACTGTTACTCTTATGAGCTATGAGAGCTTAATTATAGCTTAATTAAAACTAATGCTCAGCATTCTCTGGAAGGTAGAGAGATTAACAACTAACTTCCATGCTGAATAGCCTGGGTTTTGAAAAGTATGTTTTTGAAATACGTGGGATCTCCACTCTGGGGCCCTCTCTGGGTCTTCACACCTAAGCCAAAGCAAGAGCTATTTTTGTGTTAGAATTTCCTTAGCCAAGACTACAAAACGCCAAATGCCACGGTTCATCTCAGCCTCCTGTGCATTCACATGGAAGGTCGTCTTTGAATCTGCACGTCCAGCTCGCCATACACATGTCTCAGGGAGTCACTGCTCATGCTGGCTATCAGCTTCCGAGGCCCAGAGACCCAGGGCCGGCACACTTCTTCCCACTGCACGGTGGAGTTGGGCCGGATTTCACTGAAAGGATGAAAAAGAGAGGAGAGGTTGGAAGATCCAGCTTTCCACCTTGATCAGGAAGCAGTGAAAACTCTTGTCTAAGTCACTTGCTTTCTTTCTCTCAGTTGGTGCTTAGGGCAGTGAAGACTCTCACTGGCTGATTCAGCAAGTGACATCCCAAATGAGGCCCTCACATAAGGCTCTGCAGAACCAGTCACTGACAGTCTTATTGGGTCATGGTTCCTTCCACTGGGATGCATCCGCCGGCTTCCCAGTGGCCATCAGGAGCTGGGCTGAGCCCCATCCAACCATTAACTCTAGCTTGTCCCCAAGCCCTCCATAGTAGCCTTATCTATGTGACTGATCTTCTGAGCCTCGGCTCAGTTTTTGCTGCTAGTTTCCTCCTGGGATTAGAGTCCTATCTGAATCCCCCAGCTGCCTTTGCTGAGGCCCTGACACTCGAATTAGCTTCTGCCAACTCCCTTGGGATAGACCTTGTTTCCAGGCTCAGCATCTGGAACATAGCCCTGCCTGCTGCCATTTGACTTTGAGAATCTTCATGTTCTGTCATTCAAATTCCTATTTCAACCACCAAAGTGGGCCCCTCCACCTATGCAACTGTCTGCTACCATTTGTTGTCAACGCCCTAATGTATCCGGTTAATGACATAGCCTTGAATGGTTGTGGTGTTCTCCTCTTCCTCCCAGCCTTTGCCCTGAAGTCTTCCTGAGTGTCATGAACAAGCACACATCAGTGCAGACTGAGGCTAATCAGGGCTGGGGAGATTTAGTGTTCTCTGGGGTGCTTCACATATAGCCTCCCCTATAAACCGTGGGAGATTATATTCAGATTTTATATGTATGACAGTTCTTTGAGGCAGATACTATGCAGCAGATTTTATGATCAAGAAAAATGGAAGGTTAACCAGTGAAGTCCCTTTTTCAAGATCACATAATTGGTAAATAGGCAGAGATGAAATTTGAACCCAGGTTTTTCTGAGTCCCATATTCATACTCTTTCTGCTACTCTTCACTACATTTCATAAAAATGTACACCATATGTTCTATAAGAAAAGGCTTTTTCTAAGATATTTGCACATACATATTTACAGCAGCACAATTTGCGATTGCAAAACCATGGAACCAGCCCAAATGCCCATCAACGAGTGGATAAAGAAATTGTGGTATGTGTATACCATGGAATACTACTCGGCCATAAAAAGAAATGAAATAATGGAATTCACAGTGACCTGGATGAAACTGGAGATCATGATTCTAAGTGAAGTAACTCAGGAATGGAAAACCAAACATCCTATGTTCTCACTCATAAGCTGGAGCTAAGCTATGAGGGTGCAAAGGCATAAGAATGATGCTGAGGTCTTTGGGGACTCAGGGGAAGGGTGAGAGGGATAAAAGACTACAAATTGGGTACAGTATGTACTTCTCAGGTGATGGGTGACCAAATATCTCAGAAGTCACCACTAAAGAACTTATTCATGTAACCAAACACCATCTGTTCCCCCAAAAACCTATGGAAATAAAAAAAAGAAAAAAACAAAAGGCTTTTTCTGACCACTGTGCTTACTTTTTCATAGGTTTTATTTCTCAAGCAGGAAAGATGCTTTTTGACTTAGTAATAAGACTGTCCCATAAGTATTCATGGAGGATTCATTGAACTCTTTGCAAAATAATTTAGGAAAGTTTCTCCTGCCTGTATGCAGAGAGAAAATTCTCAGTCCTCAATTCACAGTGCTCAATTCAATACCAATGTAGGTTTGGGATATTTATTTCTCAACAGCTGTGCTATTGTTACCTGTATCCATTCATTGTCTCTCCTCTGGTTCCCCCAAGTGATCAATCAGAAGCACTTTGTGAAACAGTGGCCCTGGTTAAGGACCTGACCTGAGACCATGTACTGTAGATAACCACCTCAAATAGAAGCTAAATCTTTAGCTCCCCCTTGTCATTTTCTCGTACTCATAAAACCATCTGGCATAATGATGTGTACATACGAAAAAACTCATACATGAAGATACTCATACATGAAGATACATATGCATGCTACTGTACATACAGATAAATTCATAACAGAGAGAAAAAATCATTTTGGTAAGTGGAGCAATGTTGGAGTAATCCTATTTTCTGGGGATGGATGTTGTGATAAATGATTCTCAGTAATGTGCTGAGCCATCAGGAGATACCGGCCATTTATCATCTTGAATGCACGCAGGCAAATGAGATTATTATTACAATAAACTGCAAATACCCATGGTTTGTCCTCTGTGCATCTAGCCTTAGCTTCTGTCCTATTTGAGAAACTTAAAGTTTAAGCCCAAATCACAAAGTGGGGGAATTTTTCTCTTGAAATAACTTATTGAACTGGATCATTTTCTAAAGAGCAAAATAAATCTGGAAGATAAATTATTTGATGCTCTGGAAGCTTCAAGTGCAGAAAGCTAAGAGTCTGTGGAAGTGGGACCTCTGTGCATCTGAGACAGGCAGGAGGCAGTGGGGGAAGAGCAGGAAGGTAAACCATTTCAGAGTAGAGTTGGCTCACGGCGAGTGAGGGATGGGACACAGCACTGCCTTCTTTGTTCCTGGCTCCGATTCCCTGTTTACCAGCTCCCCACCTTCCAGGTCCTCTACTTTGGGTTCAAGACCCCCTGCCTTCTAGACACCACATCTGGCAGGGTGTGGGTGAATGAGTGGGGGTGGTGATTCCCCAACTATTTGAGAGCTGTATTCTAGAGAGAAATACAATCTTGTAAAGGATTTTGGTTCTGTGGAATTGCACTTTCTAGGCGTCCAAGTTGTTACATGGATCTGGCACTCCTAGATCAGATCTTGGCAACATAGGGCACAGTGGAGTGTTTCTAATTATCTGACCATATGGAAGTGGGCATGGACTGGCTCAGGTCTTGGTTGTGAAGGTGTGTGCTGGAGTGAGGAGTAAACAGAGAAAGTAGCGCTTGGTCCAAGTTGTAAGCCCATCCCAGATAACAAATGTTTTCTATGTCATGATTTTTCGCCCAATTTTTGACTGTCTCTGAGAAATAAAGCTTCTTTTGCCTGGGAGACATTCCACCCTGAATCTAGGTTTCTATAACTATTCAGCCATAAAAAAGAATAAAATCCTGCCATTTGTAACAACATGAATTAGACCTGGAGGAAGGGCATCATGGTAAGTGAAATAAACCAGACGTGGAAAGACAAATACTACGTGATTTCACTCACATGTAAACACTAAAAAAAAAATTTTTTTAAAGTTGATAACATAGAAACAAAGAGTAGAACAGGGGTTACCAGAGACTGAGGAGGAGAACATGAAGGGGAAGATGGGAAGAGGTTGGCCAATGAGAACAAAGTGGCAATTAAATAGGAGGAATAAGATCTAGTGTTCTATAAGGTAACCATGATTAACAGTAGGTATTGTATATTACAAAAGAGCTAGAAGACGGGCTTTTGAATGTTGTCACCACAAAGAAATGATAAATGCATGGGGTGATGGATACACTAAATACTCCGAGTTGATCATTATACAACATACATTATATGTATCAAAACATCAAATTACCCCACATAAACATGTGCAATTACAATGTGTCAGTAAAAAAAACTTAAAAAGAGAGATTGAGGACTGTTATGGACTAAATGTTTGTGCTCCTCACAAATTCATTTGTTGAAACCCAAACTCCCGTGTGATACTATTTAGTGATGGAGCTTTGGGGAGGTAATTAAATTAGAATAGGTCATGTGGGCGGGGCTCATGATGGGATGAGTGCCCTTCGAAGAAGAGATGCCAGAGAACTTGCCCTCCCTCTCTCTGCCCCATGTGAGGGCACAGTGAAAAGAAAGCCATCTGCAAGCTGGGAAGAGAGCCCTCATCAGGAAGCGAATTGGTCGGCCCCTTGTTCTCAGACTTCCCAGGCTCCAGAAGTGTGAGGTGTAAATGTTTGTTGTGTAAGCCACCCAATCTATGGCATTTCTGTTACAGCAGCGCAAACCAACTAAGAGCAGCTAGCTGTCTGTCTATCTACTTGTCTGCCTAGACTTACGTGTTGCAGTAACTACTGATAGTACCTTAAGCCAGTGTGTGGGCAGGACATCTGTGTCCATGTGGGGACTAGCCTTATCCATCCTTTCTCCCGATTCACTCCACTTTGCTCCACCCCAATGTCAGACATTAACAATAAACAGACCGTCTGGAGATTTAACCTATTTCGAGCCTGAGGCCTCCCAAATAGTGGGTCATTGCACTGTGTGATAATTCACCTTTTGTCTAAGACACACAGTGTCCTTTTTCATGTGTTGACCTTGACCAAGGTGGAATTCTGGGGGGATAGCCAAGGTGTAAAGACAGAAGAGGTTCCAGTACACTCAGATAAAGCTTGTGGGGTTACTGTCTGGGAAGGAAAAAATTGGATACAGCAGGGGGCTGTATGGAAGAGGAAACGTGTTTCACTTTGCCTGAACGATTCTTGCATCTGATTCGAGTGGGAAGGTGTGAGAACGGGTGAGTGAGACTGTTGTTTCTGACGAAAGCAGGGGTATGGCTGCTGACCTCTCCATCTAGCTGGGGTTGATTACTAATTTACTTCTTTTTTCTTTCCTGCAACTTTCCTATTAGCGCAGGAAGGTTGCTATGTTTTGTGCTTGCATTGTTTCAAAAGCACTCAGATTATTTTCTCTGTTGTTTATTGCATCTGCAATAAGGCATCTCTTAAATGATGAGATGCAGAAGCTATAAGCCTTGTAATTTGAAAGAAATGAGGAGAGCCCTTTATGGGCAATAAAGTGCCCCAGAGGGTTTAAGTGAGGCCTTGCATTTATCCCACAGATTCCAGAGCGGAGTCGCTTCCATAAAGGGTGTCGGGAAAACTCTTAACATATCTGGTCATGAGGCGGTTTCCAAAGTCCTCTACCTCCCTTTCTATGCCTTAGAAGGTCACCCCACAGGAAATGTGCTAGATTGATTGATGCTGACAAGGACTTATTTGTGGTAGAAATGAAAGTAATAAACCTCAAAGATTGGGATCCATTCTGGGTGTCACACTTTAAGAGGAGTAGTGACAAATTGGGATGTGTGGGAGAGAGAGATAGAGAGCTGAAACCACGTTAGAGGAGAGAGAAATAAAGTCAGGACAGATTTTTGTCCCCAGGTAGAAAAGATTCGAAGAGGATGAGACAGCTGTTTGCAAACATTTGCAAACCATCAGATGGAAGAGAGATGGGCCTTACTTTCTGTCAGTCCAGATGGCAGAGTTAGGATCATTGGTAGGATCAGATGGTAGAAAAACATGTTTCCTTACCATTAGAGCTACCTGACCATGGAATAGGTTATCTTGTCGGGTTACACTCTTTGTTAGTAGAAGTCACAGAAACTGAGACCCCTCAAGCACAATTTGAAGGGGGCTGTGTGTGGAAGAGGCTGAGTTTCATTCAGATCATTACATAACTTGGGGTTGTCTTTGGTCCCCTGAATGGGGAACCATCTAGAACTCTTTAGGCTCAACTAAAAAAAAACCTGAATCGAACAGTTGTAGACAGTGATTGGGACGGTAAAATCTGTGAGGTGAGGCTGGAGACAAGGGAACCATGAAAAGGGAGCATCTCTCAGCCTAATATTTGACACATGGTAGGAGCTCAATAAAGATGAGAATTGTCCATACATGAGTAGGTAGTACAGCAAAGTGGTTCAAACTTGGGTTCTGGAATTCACCAGCCTGAGTCTGAATCTTGGCTTTGTTTTCATAAACTGTGTAAGTGAAGATTCAACCAGTCAACCTTTCAAAGCCTCAAATTCCTCAGCTACAGAAGAGAGATAATGGCAGTATCCACATCATTAGGGTGTCTTTAAGGATTAAATGATAAAAGTGCTCGTCAAATCAAACCTAGTTTTACTCCATGGTCAGCAAGGAGGAGGCAGCTTCCCAGACGTTTTCATGAGGGAGCAGATCTATGTCTGGAAAAGACACACGCGTAGAAAACTTCCCACAGCCCTGCACTGCCTGCCTGGTCTCCCCAACCCAAGGCTTACCGGAACATCTTCCTCATTGGTCTTGTTATTCCAGGACCATCCAGGTGTATCCAGACATTTCGCAGGGTTTCTTTTAAAGGATTGGTAAATTCAACTGTCACAATCATGTCAGAACCAACTACCTGAGCGCCACGGACCTAAGAGAGAGAATGCAGCTCATTAGCAGCAAATAAAACCTCATTCTGCTCTCTTGTTGCCTTAACCATCTTCACTTTTACTAGAGTTTTGTGATACAGTTATTTTTCTGGCAATGGAATCAGTGTGATGAGGATAGCTGATTGCTTTGACTGGGGGATACCTAGTGAGAAAGAGATGGAAATTTACTAATTAGAATCGTACTCTTTTCCTCATTATAAAACCAGACTAATTAGAGCTCAGATCAATAACGGTGGCCACTGACTGCTCTTTGCCAGCAGGAGGGGGAAGTGCATTTGGTGTGGTAACAGGTCTCCACGGTGAGGGCGGCCAAGTGAACTTTGCTTCTGGATAGGCATCAAGTTTCCTGCTGGGACATAGGGGATTCCTGAGTTCAAGGGGTAGAAAATGCTTCAGGGCACGTGTGCCTTCTTACTTTTAGACACATTTGGAAGAAATATGCCAGGATGGAGTCCTTACTGTTGAACATGAAGAAGAGGAACCTGGATATTAAAATAAGGAAAGGAGATTTTTCTTCTGCAGCCACACTACCTCAGTCCAGGAGAATAAAAGGTTATTTGTTGGTGAGTCGATCTATAATGACTCTCAGCAGTATCAGGTATTTGGAAGAACAACACAGGAGACAGCTAGAGCTCAGTGCCAGCTTCAACACTTATTAACAGTGGGGACTCAGGTGGTTTAGGCTTTCTGAGACTCAGTTTTCTTGTCTTTAAAATGGACTGACATTTTTATGGGGTGATCTATGCTCTTATTATTACTATACCTTAAGTTGTGTTTACTGTATGCCACATACTTCAGATCCATATGCTTTTCCAACATAAACTCCATGTGCTGCAAAATGCCAGGTGGCTGTAAGACTTGTTTGTTTGTTTAGGAGCTATGTATACCAAATGAATGGTTCTGTATAAGCTCTAAGTAACTTGGGAATAAGATAAGAATAATAGTTCTTCCCTTGCAAGAAAGGTTTCTAATGAAAAATGCTCATCAAACAACAAACATATTGCAAGGCACATGGCAAAGGCTCAATGCATTACAGCTGATGCTTTTTAGGGTAGCAATGCTCTGGGTAGTTTGTCTTATTCACCTTATATTTCAGCCCACTTTTAACTCCAATACTTAGTACTTCAATACCAATGTCCAATAAATATTTATTAAATTAAGTCAATGGCTCAGAAATGGAATTTATTGGATGTCTGGATCTTCCATATGACAACCCAGCCATTACTATACCATGTTTCTTTAGCCACTATATAATATGGGAGAAAATATATGGAAATGAGCCTTTTTTAAGAATGGAGGTAAAGAGGAAGGACATTGCCCAGAGAAGAGGACCCTCACTTACTGATGCTACAGTCAAGAATAAAATCTTCCTGATCTGATGATTACACACTGTATGTATGAACTGAAAAATCACATTTACCCCATAAATATTTACAATTATTATATATCAATTAAAAGAAGAATACAGTCTTATGGCTTTACTCATCAAGCCATGCTTTGTGACTAAATTTATGGCTATGGGATTACTTAAGTCTATAAGAAAAATGAAACTTCAAGCCAACTCCCCAACTTTGTTACATTTAAATCCTCATCTCCTGGAGGGCAGTGGTGGAGAGATGGGTTCAGGGGAACTAGGAAAGGGGCAGACAATGGTCATGGCAGCAACAACAGCAGGTGCACCTAGACAGCATGGATCATGTGCCAGGCAGGGAGTCCAGCACTCTAACCAGCGATCCTCAGTCTGGTAATGGGTGGATCCTGTCATTCATTTATTTGAGGCACCCCTGTTGATTACAAAGAACCAGCCCCAGCTGACAACCATAATTCACATACATTCTCACATAAGCCTCACAACACAAGGGCTATATTTGTATCAGCTTGATCATATGATAATAATAGTTATTCCCTTAAGAAGAAGGAGGTTTTCTGGGGCAGGATCATTGGTGCCAGGCATTTCATTTTATAAAAGAGAAAACCGTGGTTCAGGAAAATAGGTAACTTGAACGAGGATTCGAAGCTGCTAAATGACCAAGCTGGGATTGAAGTTAAAGTCTGCGTAACTGGAGATCTTGAACTCTAAGATAGAGTCCTGCTCTGAGGTCAGAGGAGCTGGAAAAGCCAACAACTCAGCCATAACAAAACAACCAAAACTGTTTCATACTGAAGTCCCCCCGTAAAAAACAACAACAACAACAACAACAAATATATATATATATATATGCCAGTCGGGAAGTAAGGGAGATTTTTCAAATCAGTGGGAGCAGCATTGGATTTGAAGTCACACTGACAAGACTGAGAATGAATAAGGCATAACGGGGAGGACACTGGTTAAATAATAGGCAAACTGGAACATGAACCAGAAGTTACTTTTATGGCTGGCTGGCACATGGGGTGTGGAGGGATAAGCCTGGTTTGAAGGCTGTGGCAAAAACAGTAGTCATGATCTAGATCAGAGTTTCTCAGCATCAGCACTACTGACATTTTGGGCTGGATGTATCTTTGCTGCAGAGCTGTTCTGTACAATGTAGGATGTTAAGCAACATCCCTGGTCTCTACCCACTGCATGCCAGGAGCAGCCCCGCACCCCAACCATCACAACCAAAACTGTCTCCAGCAATTGTCAAATATTCCTTAGGGAGCAAAATTGCCCTCCAGTTGGAAACCACTGGTACAGACAAAACATGTGGAAGACAGACTGAATTTTTGACTTTCTTCTCAGAGGCCCTGCCTCAATCAATTTAGATATTGAAGGTGTAGCAATACATCAGAATATTTTACATGGTGTCCTTGATTTAATTTTCAAGTATGTCCAATATATTTTTTCCTGCATTAAGAAAAATTTCCAGAACATCTGTGGATTAAAAAAATGCAAAATAAAGATAGCATTTACAAAAGCTCTCTAAACTGAAGAAGATGGAGTGGCTACGGAGACATTATTGGCAAAAGTGTTTGCTATGATCACTTTATTCTTTCTGGAAATAATATTTTGGAGCCATCTGTCTTCTCCATGGTGTGCTATATAAGGATGGGCATAAGCTCCTTCAAAAGCAAATCTGATAGTAGCGACTGACCTTTCCTCCACGCAGACATACACAGTGACAAATGTAAGACATATACAATATAGGCATGCATTTTAAGGGGACTCACTATAGGCCTATGAAGTCTATACATGGTTCATAGACTATTCATAGGGGCCCATGATCCCTAGACTAAGAACCCTTTCCATACCAGTAGACTGGCTCTACATGAAGCCTCCTACGCTGTGGAAAGTGAAGTACACCCTTCCAGGTCACTGATGACAGCGATAGGGAATGTTTAGTGTTTGAGAAACTGGCCCATGCAATTGAGCCTTCATAGATAGGCTTCAGATCTGAATATGATCAGGAGATTAAACCTTCTCAGGTAATTTCATGTCATGCCTAATCAGTTTGCTTCCAGTATTATCTCTGTAATTAGATGCTGGCATGGGTGTATCAATTCTGCCCAGATCTCCCTGATGCTGGAGTGGGGAGCGGGGAGAAAGTTGGGGAGGGGTGAGAGGAGAAGCCCTTCTCTGGTTGTAGAGTGTTTCTTTTGCAATTAACAAAGACCGGTGTCCCTTTTCTGACATTTGTCTCCTGCACTGAGAATGTAAATTTCCTGTCCCTGACTACTGATGATAATGAACCTTAGACACTCAAACCTAAGTAAATATAAAAACCTGCCCAATGCTCGACATCACTGTGTTCTGCTTGGGAAACGTAACTGGAGGTGTCTCCCTCTCCTTGCTTTTTTTGAGGAAAATGCTGCCAACACAGAGTGTTCTCATGTTATGTGTTGATTTCAGTGATGCACCATGCTATGGTACCTACAAAATGCTGAGAACAATGACTATTTGGGGAGAAAATGTCTGTTTGCATCACATTATTTTAGGAATCTGCAAAGCTCCCTTTTCCTTATTGCTGAAGGCATAATTCCATATCTGCATAGTCATATTTTCATTTCATTTTCATAGTCATATTTTTCATTTTCTTGCTCTCATAAAACCTTAAATAAAGGGAGCCTTCAGGCAATTTAGAGAAGGTTACTTCAAAAAGAAACTTTCATGTGTATTCACTTTGGAGAAGAGTATTCATTACTTGGGCCAGAGAAAAGAATAAAGCATATGTCTTACTTGGTGACATTGAATCCTTTTGCATATACTTGATGGTCTTAAGTTTTTCTCAAGATTCCATTTAAAATATCTCTGTTTTAAAAAATCAGCCTGTAATATGATACTTTCCCAAGTAACACATCACTTACTGATATCGACACACAGAATTCCTGTCCTTTATACTAATTCGTGATAATGAGCTGCTACTCTGATTCTTTGGTAAACAGGAAAGTTACTAACACACACACATATACTCTCTCTTATATAAACTTTTTGGGAAGAAATAACTTTTTTAGAAATCACGAGATACCTTCCACTAAGCATATGCTTTAAAAATACATAACTGTATTCAAAATCGAAACTGAAATGAAGGAAAACGTTTGAGAAAGAGTAACATAAATGAAGCTGGCGATTTGATATACATGATTTATTAGCGCATCTAACTGCTCTTATTTCAAATACTTTCAATCATGTATCGCACGTATTTCTGGAAACTATATTTTTTCCCTTCCCCTTGGCCTGTGATCACTGTTGATAACAAGCTATTTCTTGTTTGTAAACTCTGCTCATCACCACAGGCACTACCCTTGCTTTTAGCTGACACTTAGATGAACACTTACTAACCAATGCTAATGGTTCTAGGATGGTTAGGAAATGTCCTCAGTCTATATTTTTTTCAATATAGTAGCCACTAGCCACTTGTGGCTGTTTATATTTACATTAATTAAAATTAAGTGAAATGTAAAAAATTCAGCTCCTCAGTTGCACCAGCCACATTTCAAGGACTCAGTAGCCTCACGCGGCTGGTGGCTACTGTATTGGACGGAGCAGATTTAGAATGTTCCCATT